AGTGGCATCTCTGAAAACTGGCAGGCTTTCTGTGACAGGCCTGAAGCACAGGTGGAGCTGAGGAGACCCTGGAGGAGGTTCCTGCAAGGACTTCAGGAGCCATCTGAGCAGGCTCTTCACTCTGAGTGATTGCCCTAACCCCTGCTCATGACAGCGCACAAGCAAACAGGACTATCTGCAGGGGAGCCAGAAAGTGTGCAACAGGGCCATGGAGAAATGGTGCCAGGACCCCAGCTGACCCCAGGTGCCACACCAGCGTGGGAGGAAAAAGTCACCAGCACAGTGATGGATTCTCGGATGCCCTCAGCCTCCTCGCTAGTGCTTTCTCAACTTCCCTTGGCATCTACCATTCTGATCTCATTCATTCTAGAGCAAGTAGTTACTGAATGCCTACTGAAGGCCAAGCAGTGTGGTACAGTGGTAAGCAGAATAGACACAGCCACCTCTGACTCCACCGCATTCCTGGCCTGCTTTGCTGAAAGTTTATCTTACAAGCTACCTCTGCCAACACGCAGAGTGCCCGCACACCTACTGTCATAGAGAACAACGTGCTAATCACATGTTGACCTGAGCTCCCAGGCAGAGTTCACAGCATCTAACTGTGCAGTGAGCATTAGCCTGCTGTTTCTCCATGTGGGGTAAGGAAGTATACCAGAACCACCAGGGTAGGTTTTTAAAAATTATTATTAATACTCTTATCTAGACACCTTTTCTGAAAATTACAATATACTTTTGTTGGGATTGGGAAGGAAGGCACTGAAGAATAAAAAGAGAAGCTAGGAATATATATGAGTATTTAGAAAACTTTTGCCAAATGGTTCTATGTAACTCCTAAAACCACTGATCTCAATGTTTCTTTGTAAAAATGAACAAACAGATATGAGCAGCCCGAAGAAGCGAGTCAAGCATGGTGGCCCAGGAAGCAGGAAACAGAAAAGAATTCAAAAACTTTAAATAAACTCATATTCGCTGTGAGATTGGAGAGGCAATCACATTTACAGACCAGAGCAGACTTCCATGGCAAAGGCCAATTCAAGGAATAAAGAAGAGATCTTGGAAATAAAGCATGATTCTCAAGAGAAAAACCCCAATGAATATCATGATGGATACTTCAGAGAACTATCTTAGAAATCAGACCAACAAACGTTATTCTTCTAGAACCAAAGTCAGAGACGGGAACTGCATGTGAAAAGATAAAGAAACATCAAGGGTGGAGCCAAAGACTTGATGTCAGTAGAACAAAAATTCCACGAGGAGAAACTGAAGCATTTGAAGGAGGTCAGGAAATTGTCTAAACTAAATATGATCTCAACAGTTTCACCATGTGTGTTTTCTATGCAAGTAGAGGGTACAAGGAGTTAAGGACAGAAAACAATTACTGTACCTGCTTCTGTAACTGGTCACGAACTGATGGTCCCAACTTTCATTGTCACCGTCCTACCCACGTCCCCTCACCTTCTGCCAGCACTGCGGATGGGTGGGATTCCTTCATGGTGGAATGATGCCAGCCTTCATTTCCTCAAGGTCTATGGTGGTCCTGTTTTTCTTGGATTGCTGCAAATTTTTATCAACACAGTGAACCTCGGCCTCCCAGACAAGTCCTACTTGTTCCTATTGCACAGCAGCAACCCAATGTCCCCTTGGTAATGGGGATCAATTATCCCAGTCAGTAGAGTGACTTCTTCTATACCTGCTAGTTTGGTGTTATGAGGAGTTAAAAATGGTTAGGGTTCAGTGTCAGGCTACAATTTTATTGAAATATCACTGTGACCCCTGGCAGTGAGGGGGTCACTAGGAACTCCAACCCCATCAAACCCAAGGTCATAGTAAAGGAAAGCAAATTTTGTCCAGCGAACTGTGGGATAAAATAGGGAGACAGACAACTCCCACTTCCACCCTTTACTTCCCAGGCTCATGCATTCCAGCAATTAGAATGGCCTCACATATTGATTTGTGATTTGCGGAATATACTACATCATGTAGGGCAGTTCCCCAACCTTGCAGAAGGGTGTTTCCCCAGTGGTTTGTAACTAAACCTTCACCATTTTATTAAGCCAGCTGTTTCTGGGTGATGGGGCACATTGTCATTTCATGGGTGTGAGCCCATTGCTATACTTCTTTTGCCATAAAAAGATTGCCTTGCTGGAGATGATGTTGCTTGGGATACATGGCAGCAGATAAGGTATCAATCATGCTGTTGGCAGAATTACTATAGGCAAAAAAAGCAAACCCATGAACAGAATGTACACTTATCCAGGTGAGGTCGAATAGTTGCTCTTCACGATGAAAGGAGCAATGGAACCAACTTGTCCCAGGTAGCTGCTTGATAAACCCAGGGATTAGGACCAGACTGAGACCACTTGCCATTGGCAGGTAGGACACTCAATGGTGGTGGGAACTAACCGAGCCTCGCTGAGGGGAAGCCCATGCTTCTTGACTCCACCTGTGCCTCCTGGGCCACTTTGGACGTGAGCCTGTCGAGCAAGCACTGGGGTGGCTGGGGACATCCACCCTCTAAGTAATGGTTGAGAGTGTGCACTGGAGTGGGTGCCTCTGGTGGGCATTTTTGTAAGAGAAGATTATCTTCTCCATGCTAACCAGCCACCTGCCTATTAACTACCGCCAATGACTTCATGCTGCGCCTTGCTTCTGGTCTTTTCCATGCAAAATAGTCAGTCTTCTAACTGCACCATCCAAAATCTGCCCAAATGAGGATTTTCTTTCACCACCGTCTTTCAAGGCCTCCCCCCGGTGGAGCTGTGCACCCTGCAGACCCACCCACACACTGTGCTCGTATTTTTCCCCCTCTGCTAACTTGTGATTGGGAATTCCCCACAAGGCCCTCTCTGTGGGTAGAGGGAGAAGCGGTGAGACATTAGGAAGAGGTGCCTTGTGAGAGTGAGTTACGTGCTTATGATGCCAAGGAGCAATGGAACCAACTTGTCCCAGGTAGCTGCTTGATAAACCCAGGGATTAGGACCAGGCTGAGACCACTTGCCATTGGCAGGTAGGACACTCAATGGTGGCGGGAACTAACCGAGCCTCGCTGAGGGGAAGCCCATGCTTCTTGACTCCACCTGTGCCTCCTGGGCCACTTTGGACGTGAGCCTGTCGAGCAAGCACTGGGGTGGCTGGGGACATCCACCCTCTAAGTAATGGTGGAGAGTGTGCACTGGAGTGGGTGCCTCTGGTGGGCATTTTTGTAAGAGAAGATTGTCTTCTACATGCCAACCAGCCACCTGCCTATTAACCACCGCCAATGACTACATGCTGTGCCTTGCTTCTGGTCTTTTCCATGCAAAGTAGTCAGTCTTCTAACTGCACCACCCCAGATCTGCCCAAATGAGGATTTTCTTTCACCACCGTCTTTCAAGGCCTCCCCCCGGTGGAGCTGTGCACCCTGCAGACCCACCCACACACTGTGCTCATATTTTTCCCCCTCTGCTAACTTGTGATTGGGAATTCCCCACAAGGCCCTCTCTATGGGTAGAGGGAGAAGCGGTGAGACATTAGGAAGAGGTGCCTTGTGAGAGTGAGTTACGTGCTTATGATGCTGTTTACTTGTGTCTTCTGGTCCTGCTTGAGCCCAGTCCCATTTGGATCATTTCCACTTAACNTCACTTATTGGTGGGAGCTAAAAAAAAAAAATAAACAAATTAATTTACCCACAAACACACAGACACACAAAAAAACCGGGGGGGGGTGGCGTGGGGAAGAAGATATAACAACTATACTTTTTTTGTAGTTGTTACAACAAAGAAACGGAAAGGACATTCTTGGGGGGGAGGGGAGAGAGGGAGGAGGGCGGGAGGTGTCGGTGATGGGCCATAATAATCATATACATTGTATATTGACAAAATAAAAATTAAAAAAAAAATATCAGGGTAGAAGAAAGTAGCTACGATGAAAGCTGAGTGTGAGCCTCCTAGCAATGTTCTCTGGATTTGGTTAAAGCTGCCTTAGTAAAAATAAATGGCAAATAAAGAGGACAAGTACGTTTAGAAAGAAGTTATATACCACTTTAATGGGGCTGTCCAACATTCAGTCACACAGATCATTCTGAAACCTAATTGCTTTCATAGCCTTCTTATCTCACCAGAAGAGATCTGAATACTTTGGGAAAAAGCAAATCAAACATAGAAAGAGGTGCCATGATAAGACTTGTTGCTACAGCACTATGTAGTTAATGCCAGACTTTGGATTTCATCAGAGGGCATTTCTTCAGTCTAGGAAAGCTATACAAAGCCTTAGGACACTGTATTTACAGGACTTATTAATACAAGGATCCGTATCTACCATAACTTGGCCAGAGTCTTAACAGAATGGTGGAACAGCTCCCTCAAGAATCCTCATTTTCTTATCTGTGGAAAAGCTAATAGTTCTAAAAATATTTTCCTGGAAGAGGTTAGAATGGTTATCATATATCAATTGACTATAAAGCATGGTTATGTAAGCCAAGCTTGCATGCTAATATTGCACAAGGTAGAAAGCAATAAAACAGGACGATGCACTTCCTTGGGTCATCTGGTAAAAATGGAAGGAAGCTCTTGATTCAGTATCATTATGATGCCTCAAATTCCAGGAGTCCACCTGTAGCTGGCCTTCCAGTGTCACTGCCATCTTGAAATCTCAAAAGGGTACACATCTTCCACACCAATAGAAATAGAAATGAGAAAAAAGAAAACAGACAAAACATCCAAAACTCAAAGGGGTACACCAGCCATCTCAAACTGTGGTACTGTTCATTTCTTGAAGAGAATATATAATATTTCAAAATATTATATATATACATATATTTCAAATGGTACAAAGTAACTATAGATCCAAATTAGAAGACAGTTGATCGTTCTTCATGATCCCAAAAAATTTCACTGAGAAAACCCTTCTTTTAAGCCCACTTTCCAAGGTGTTGCCAAAAATTCTGAGTCTTCTCACTGTAGGATATTTCATTACACACAGTAAATGCACTGTGATTATCTGGTAACCAGTCAAAGTGCAAATAAGAAATCCATTTGGCTTGTAAATGTGTAAGATGTTTTAAATTCTCAAAATGTATTTTCCACAGGGTTGGTTTTCCTTTATTACCACAAATGCTTCTGTTAGGTTCTTGGGTGAATCTGAAACCAAAGAAAAAAGACATTTTAGGGAGAAAAGTACAAAATGAAGGCACAATGAAATGTGATTATGCAGAAAATGAGGACACCTGGTGTTTTTAGAATGTTAAAAAATTTTGTTTTCCTAAAAATTTTTCCTAAAATTTTTAGGAATTTTTAGGTATTTTTAGGTAATCTGAACTCAAAAATGTTAAAGTTTAGAGTAGTAGTTCTCAAATGGTGATCAAAGCATATTGACAAGTCACCATATTTTCATCAATACATTAAATTAATTTTGTCACAACTAAGGAGGAAGATTCTTGGGGCAATGTCCATCTGGGACTGGCTTCATGGGTGTGTGACCCGTGCAGTTGCACAGGGCTCTGTTCTGAAAAGGGCCCCTTGCTTGGTTTAATGCCCTGCTGTTGCCATCTTAAAATTATTAATAAGTTTTGAACAAGGGCCCTGTTTTTTTTTTTGCATTGGGCCCTGTAAATTATGTAACCAGTCCTGTGTCTATCTGATGAGCATTTGAGTTGAGATGGTCTTTCCATAGCCTTGTCCAATTGGCCTGTTGGAAGAGGTAGGAGTTGGCATAAGGTTAAGTCATTGTCAAAGATGGACCACATCTGTGAAGGAACACTGGATACTTTGACAAGATGAAGAACTGTTCCATTCAATGGCATAGTGTTCAAGGGTGATCAAGAGCACACTCCTATAACTGTAGATGACATTTAATCTATTTGAATACTGTCTCCAAACCTCAAATATTCAAAAGGACACATATACAGAGAACCACTGGTTGAGAGTATAAAGGACATTGTAATAAAGCTAAAGCCTCTACACTAGAGTTCTAAGAAATAAGGCATTTCTCTTTATCATCTCTTAATTCTTTATAGTTTTAGAAACTGAGTGTTCTGAATCCAGGGATGGAAGTCCATTTAAAGCTTTACGGGGCAGGCAAAAACAATACATTTTGCACTGAAGGTTGGTTGCATCAAGGTAGAATGAATGAGAAATCTCCACGCATTTATTTTGCTATCCTCTCCTAAATAATAGGGCCTTCTCAACCTTGGTTTCTTACATTCCAATGGCCTTCATCACCTTTTGTTTGCACTGTCTTTTTTACCAAAAGGATGGAGAATGTGACATTTACAAAACTGAACTGAAATTGCCTTTCTTTTATCTGTTCTCCTCAGCCAACCCTAGACCATGTCCTCTATGGAAGACCAGGTGCTCTGTTATGTCCGCCATCACATCCTCAAGACTTTAACCCACTAAATTTAGATAGTAGAGACTTAAATATATTTATTAGCTAAAGAAATGAATTCACTTGAATTTGGGGCAATTGTGATAGTAGTATGGGTTTTTCTTCCTTCCTGCAATTCCCTCAATATTTTCTATGTCTTTTAATGTCTCTTCCTCATTTTCTAATTTTTTATCTTTATGGACAGCAATTGGTATTATTTTTTTTTTAGAAATCTCTCTCTCTTTTAAAAGATTTTTTATGCAAAATGGACTAGAGGTCAGAACTGTAAAGTCATAGGCACTCAGAACATTTCAGATCCAGTGGAATACTGAGTGAGAAAGAAACTGGAATATGTCAAAGTTGGTACTTTGCCCCTTCAGTAATATAAAAAACATCAGTTAATTGAAATGAGTGGAGAGATGCAAAATCAGAGTCACCACCAGGAGGAACACAGGAGAGTGTGGACAAATGATTGTGGTGGATTTGTATTGGGCCAGTCACATGAAACACCGATTTGACAAGATGGCTATCGTGGTTAGTTATGCAGTCTGAGGTCTGGTAACTCCACCTTTTAGGCAATGGAACTTGACCTTACATTGCATACTGTTGATTTACTCACTAGTCTGAGAGACATTCACATGTTGAATTGCAAATCCAAAGTTGTTTGATATTTCCCAAGGTATTACAACAGATTATGTTCTGCTATATTAATCTGCTAATTTTTCAAATGACTTTGTTTTTCTCCTCACTTTATTCCTTTCCTATTGCTGTCACCTAATAACTGTTCAATTTTTAGCTGGAATTAATATAGTATTGTCAAATAACTTATTGTCTCTAAGGGGACGTTTGTCTTTGTAGTGTATATGCATTATTCCTGCACATACAAGGTATAGATATGTTCTTGGATACCTGGAAAATAGCCTCCCCAACTTTCAAACTTATGTATTTAATATGTTACAGAAAAAAAATTGCTAGTTTTCTAAAACCACAGGAAAAAATCTCTAGTCAGTATTTAGGTTAGGTTATTTAATGAAATAATTCAAGTAATGATCAAACAGGGATGGCGTTAAAATTTGGCCATGAAACTTCACCCAGATGTATGAAGCTTCTGCCCAGAAGGATATGTGCTACCAGGTTTATTCTACTCCAGGACTGGTCTTGGAAAACCTCTCAAGGGTGATTCCTTCCTTTCCATAGGGTGGCATCAGGAGTCTTCCTCTCTTCCTTAGATTTATTTTTGATCTCCTGAAAGGAAAGCCTTTGCTTCATTCCATTTATGTTTTCTCCTTCCTTCTGTAGGTTATACTGTTACCAAGCTCCAACCTCTCCAAGGTTTTCCTTTAGACTGTGTGGCCTGTTCCCCAGGCTTGTCCACCTTCTGGGGTGTAGGTCATTTAGATCAAACACTAAATTTTTACTCTTCACCCTTCTTAAAAAATGCCATAACATTTTAAATTAGATCATGCTTTGAACCATCTTTTACTTATCTACATTTGAAAGACTTCTGAGAATTTTGTCTTAGGATGACAAAAATTTCCAAAATTTCTTTTGGAAATAACCTATAAAGTAGAAAGGTTTGTGAAAAATCTTTTACAGGGAAAGATAATGAAGTTCCAGGAAGTTTTCTTTTTTTTTTTGTTTTTGTCTTTTTCCGTGTCCGGCAACGGATCGCAACCCTCAGTGTTGCTCCCGTACCGGCGCCGCCGCGCTTCCCAAGCGGTGCACTATAGCAGTGCGCCACCGGGCCGGCCCTTTCCAGGAAGTTTTCTTTCAATTATCTGTTTTTGTCTTTTTCCGTGTCCGGCAACGGATCGCAACCCTCAGTGTCGCTCCCGTACCGGCGCCGCCGCGCTTCCCAAGTGGTGCACTATAGCAGTGCGCCACCGGGCCGGCCCTTTCCAGGAAGTTTTCTTTCAATTATCTTTACATCAGAGTTACTTTTTTAACAACAGTATGAAGGAAACTCTCAGTTGCCATTAATAATCTGGATGTGTTTCTTTGGCTTTTTTCTTTTCTGAGAGCACTCTCTTGAATCAACCTTACACATGAGAACAAAAGTGGTGGCTTTCTTTATCTTTCTTACCTCTTGGATAAGAAGAGAACAATGAAAACATATAACTCATAATAATTAAAGTACATCTGTGAATTACAGATGGTCCCTGTCTTACGATTTTTTGACTTTACGATGGTATGAAAGCCATACACATTCAACAGAAACTGTACTTCCAGTATCCACAAAACCATTCTACCATTCTGTTTCTCATGTTCAGTACAGTATTCAATAAATTACATGAGACATTCAACCCTTTATTATGAAACAGGCTTCGTGTTAGGTGATTTTGCCCAACTGTTACCAACAGAAGTGTTCTGAGCAGGTTTAAGGTAGGCTAGGTTAAGCTATGATGTCCGGTATGTTAGGTGTATTCAATTCACTTTTGACTTATTGTATTTTCAACTTTTGATAGGCTTATCAGGATGTAACCCCACCATAAGTAGAGCATCTAAAAACCGCTGAAAAGTAAAATGTCTAGAGTCAATATTGGAAGTGTGTTGGGATAATTGTGCTCTGAGGAAAAAAATACATAGGCCATACAAGAAAAATGAGTGCGAAATCTCTTTTCAGAGCATATGATCTAAGGACTGGTGTTAACATGCACTTACACAGAATGGGTGGCTCCTATGTGAAACATCTGGACTTAATTGGTGCCTTTTATGTTTAAAAGGGCTTATTTTATCATGAACTTTTTAAGGAAAGTGGTGGTGGTGGGGAATGTACATCAGTAGTAGTGTTAGGAAAGTGGTGGTGGTGGTGGGGAATGTACATCAGTAGTAGTGTTTGAGTCCTCTCAAGGTTGAAAAGTATACTTGGTCCAGTGCCCCCTTTTTCCTTCTCTAAAGACAGACTTGAGAATTCTCAGGTGACTGAGACACAGCTCATATGGTTGGAGAGCAATCCCCTATTTCCTTGCTTGAAATGGATGCACATGTCAGAACTGGTGTATCCCCTATTTTCAAATCCACTGCAATAGCGATTTATTTCTTTGTACACTCAACTGTCTGGGTTGAACTCAGCCCACCCAGGGCGGTAGCAAAGAGTATTCTCCAGCCTCTGTTACTTGGACAGATTCTGCATAATACTCCTGTAATTCTGGAAAATGTCTAGGGTGCATTTATAACATGGCTGATTATTTTAAAATATATTGTACAGAGGCCAAATAAAAGAAAGTTACATAGGCCACAAAAAAGAATCATTAATATTTTTTTTGTTTTTGTTTCAGTTTTTGAGTTTATATTCTATGTTCCAAGGAGTCTCCCAGTTGGTACTTGTGGAATTTCACATATTTAAATCCCAAAGTAATTTGGCTTGCACTGTGTTTCTTTACTGAAGTTTGGGTCTGGACACACCATGAGAGCAGGACTTACCTTCAAGAAAATGTAATTAGTTATTATTTAGAACAGGGAATAGAGATTTGGCAGAAAATATATAACATAAGTGTTCTGAGCAGGTTTAAGGTAGGCTAGGCTAAGCTATGATGTCCGGTATGTTAGGTGTATTCAATTCACTTTTGACTTATTGTATTTTCAACTTTCGATAGGCTTATCAGGATGTAACCCCACCATAAATAGAGCATCTATAAACCACTGAAAAGTAAAATGTCTAGAGTCAATATTGGAAGTGTGTTGGGATAATTGTGCTCTGAGGAAAAAAATACATAGGGCATACAAGAAAAATGAGTGCAAAATCTTTTTTCAGAGCATATGATCTAAGGACTGGTGTTAACATGCACTTACACAGAATGGGTGGCTCCTATGTGAAACATCTGGACTTAATTGGTGCCTTTTATGTTTAAAAGGGCTTATTTTATCATGAACTTTTTAAGGAAAGTGGTGGTGGTGGGGAATGTACATCAGTAGTAGTGTTTGAGTCTTCTCAAGGTTGAAAAAGTATACTTGGTCCAGTGCCCCCTTTTTCCTTCTCTAAAGACAGACTTGAGAATTCTCAGGTGACTGAGGCACAGCTCATATGGTTGGAGAGCAGTCCCCTATTTTCTTGCTTCAAATGGATGCACATGTCAGAACTGGTGTATCCCCTATTTTCAAATCCACTGCAATAGTGATTTATTTCTTTGTACACTCAACTGTCTGGGTTGAACTCAGCCCACCCAGGGCGGTAGCAAAGAATATTCTCCAGCCTCTGTTACTTGGACAGATTCTGCATAATACTCCTGTAATTCTGGAAAATGTCTAGGGTGCATTTATAACATGGCTGATTATTTTAAAATATATTGTACAGAGGCCAAATAAAAGAAAGTTACATAGGCCACAAAAAAGAATCATTAATATTTTTTTTGTTTTTGTTTCAGTTTTTGAGTTTATATTCTATGTTCCAAGGAGTTTCCCAGTTGGTACTTGTGGAATTTCACATATTTAAATCCCAAAGTAATTTGGCTTGCACTGTGTTTCTTTACTGAGGTTTGGGTCTGGACACACCATGAGAGCAGGACTTACTTCAAGAAAATGTAATTAGTTATTATTTAGAACAGGGAATAGAGATTTGGCAGAAAATATNCTTCAAGAAAATGTAATTAGTTATTATTTAGAACAGGGAATAGAGATTTGGCAGAAAATATATAAGCAACATGTTTAAAACACAGGTGATTAGATTCCAATCATACTGGCCTTAATTCAGGGTAGCTTAAAACAAGCTAATTTGTGAGGGCAACTTCAAATTATTTGGTAAAATCATTTTCAGGAAAAACTTAACCAAAGGGAAACTTGACATCCACCCTCCCCCAGCTGATTGAAATGGTTTCTGTAGGAACATGGCATGAACCAGACTCATTTCAGAATACTTTCCTCTGTAGGAATTTCATTGAAATGAAATACAATAATCCATGCTGAGCTACACCAGCGTATGCAGATGCTTGGTAATAAGCTAGGATGATTCAGGGATCCCTCCTGGATGCAGGCCAGCGAGATACTGCATTTACAGGTTAGAGTGATCGATAGAGGCAACTAACTTTGACACGCGAAGTGCCTCCACTTACTTTACATGTGAAAAAACGAGTGTTTTCTATATAGCACATGCAGCATTATTTTTGTTTTCTGCATTACAAAGCTGCCAGAACCAATTTTATTTATTGAAAACATGATGCTGAGAAGATCAAATTAAGACTCAGAATACAGGGGTTATAATCCAAGGTGCCTTTTTAAATTTGAGTCACCTTTATGGTAGACTAAAAGTTCAACTTACAGTTTTTGGATTTGTAACTGGTAGAGATTGCTTTAAAAAATACCCAGTAAATTAACACACAC